TGATCCTGGTGAAATGAAAATAAGTATGTGTGGCTACGAGGATCGACCAGTGCGGCTCTGCCGCCGACAAGTAATATTTAATGGTAGCCGACGGATCAACTATTGATAAAAATAACTATGTGAAATGACCAAGTGTTACAACCACCAACAATAGATAATGTTATTGAACGACTAAATGGATTGGTCCACGTATTAATGATAGCCGATGATATGGAATGGCTAAGTGGTAAATCCAAATGCAACAAAGGATATGGATGGCTATATGTACATGGGCCGGCCAGCGCGGCTCTGCCGCCGACGACGGGCAATACTAATTAAGCAATAGCCGATGAGTGAAATGAATGATACGTTGTATCTGGCCATGTGAAAGTTGACTAACGTCCTTATCGTGAACGGATATTATATGGACCAATATGATCCTGAAGGAACAGTTGACAAATTCTCCAAATTTATGACGAAAAAACAAATATTGATGAAGTAGTACTAGAAGTTACTATATAATGATTAAATGATATCGTGGTACAATGGTATTGGAAGCTACCACGTAATGATAATGATGTGGTACAAGAAATGATCATTGGATAACTGAAAAAATGAGAAAATGGTGTGAAAAGTTACAAATTATGGGTGATCACACAAAATGATTTCTTAATATATTATATGGGAATATATCAGATGACAAAATAAAATTGCGATACGAGATCATATAAGATATATTTACAATAAAGTGCTCTTGAAGAAGCACATATGGTAAATGATTGTAGTCATGAAGTACTACACGCTTATATTGTGGAAAAGCTAAATTGATATTATTATTACTGAGGAACAAGTACAAAAGGTTCATGTGATGGAAATATGGATAAGAGGTAGTGAATCCTCGATAAATACAAAATGCGAAAAATATTACATAATAGAACCCATAAAAGAAGAGTGCGTCTCCAGAGTATAAAACTCCGTAATTTTGCCACCCATTATTGTTATATGGGTTCATAATGAGAGATCTAAAGGATCAAAAGCTCTTTTTTGCTTGACCCCTTGTGTTTTCACAGAATCTTGAATTGTGATGCATTCTTGAAGCTTTTTGAAAAGCTCATCAGACGTATCTGCAGATTTGAATACTTCTTTCGTTGGAGGAGATATAAAGGTTTAATATACTCCTTGGTCTAAAAATCCAAGCAGACCATGAAAAAAGTTATCAAAATTCAGTAGACCTATGGGCTTGTTATGAAGTTTCAATCCTGCCCAAGAAGCAATGGTGAACATTGTCATTAACATTCCATAACTGCCTGGAAAAATGATAAATGCATTGCTCTTGTCCACCATATCCATCATACAATAAAAAATAGAATGAATTAGCATCATGCTTATGGAATCCTTGACGACCTTTGTTGAAGCTCTATGAAAAGGTATGATACTTTTCACTTCTATCTCAACATATTTTTCAGCCAGTAAAAGATTATCAAAGAAAGTGATGCTAGTCCCTCCATATAGTAAATTAATTTTTTGATTTCCCATAGTCCTTACTAACTGGCTTACAATATCAACATTTTAAGAAAAAACTTACCAGTCTAGAACCACCAAGAACACACATGGTTTTAATCGGTTGAAGAAATACCTTGCGAAGACTCTGGAACATCCATCTATTTATTAATAAACTGAATTTTTTAAAATTTTGTGAGGCATAAGATTATGATAAACGACTCGCTATTTAAAAGAAAAGTTTTATAAAACGATAAAAATTTTACTGTTTTCTTCTGACAATTGTAGCTGATAGATAAGGTGTTGGATTTTAAATAATCTTATCTGTCGACAGCTATAAGGTTTTCCGAAAATTACAGTACAACTACTAAACTTCATTAGTATGATTTTTCGTAATAACAAGACTAGTTTTACAAACTTGATCTCTTGAAATAATATTTTCGAGGCTATAACGTTCTTCTTGATTTTTTAAACCAATCCATAATGACAGAAGCTCACGATGCACATAACCACTACGATGTGTCTCAAGAATCTGTTGAATTGTTTGAGCCATAGATTCTTTACTCAATCCATACTTTATAAATGCTATTTTATCTTCTCGATTTTTGGACACTAACCTAATAGATTTACATCGTGTGTCACACGTCCATCGAGCGCATTTGAAGCACCCACCTAATCTTTTTTTTCTTCGTTTCTTTGCAAAAGTACTCTTGCCCATACCTGGCATATATTTGTATGAATTTAGAAACTCTCCCGATAATCGAACTTTTGCTTCAATCAACCATCGAATATCACTTGGAATATCATTAATCATTAATCTTTCTAATCGAGATCGATAATTTCTTTTTATGATATTTAACGGAAGAAAAGAATAATATTTACGGATATTTCAGAGTGCTAAATCCATTTGTAAATTTGGAACTTTGTTCAGAAAGATTGAATGGATTGCCTAATAATTTATAGAAATGATTCGTGTGTTATACGACTCTAAAAACAAAGAGTATGTGCTACAAAAGGAATGATACGCATGTGATACAATTCTGAATTGAAATATTGTGGGTCAGAATCTGCACTTGAAGTGCATTTATTGTCGCCGAAAGATGATGTGATATGTTTGTAATAAATGGGTCACAATGAATTATTGTGATGTTTACTGATATAAATGATGATGGTTTGCATGATTAACTGATTCTTTGTGATATGAGATGCTTTGTTCTCGATTGGTGAAAATTATTACTAGCTAAATATTTGTGAATCGATATTTGATCAATCTGAGTATGAAAGGAGTATGATATATATGGGCCCACTACCCCTCCATGTGTGCTACTAGATATTATGGATCCACTAGGTAGCCACATGCGCGATTCGTAACCTGAAGTTACGAGATGATTTGATCAAATAATGGATATATGACATGTAACCTGAAGTTATGAGATGATTTGATCAAATAATGTATATATGACACGTAACCTGAAGTTACGAGATGATTTGATCAAATAATGTGTATATGACACGTAACCTGAAGTTACGAGATGGTTTGATCAAAAGAATGACACAAGATGATCATGAAAGAATGAAAAATAAGTTTCATATGAAAGTGATGAAACAAGTAATTTACTCATGATGAATTCTTGAAAGAAAAATGTGCACATTACAAGCAATATGAGTTCAAAGTTCTCCTATCATATGTTGAAATCGAGAACAAAATGGAGACTATATGAACTCCCTCAAGAAATTCAATACTGAAAATACAGATCATGGATCTGTTAAGATGAGGGGGAGAATCAATTTTGAAATATTGGAAATGATATATGCATCACACTGCAAGTGTGCAAATCATAAACTGAATGATACTGATTGTGGTGAAATATATGAATTGATATGATGGTGGAATAATACGATGGAAGCGTCAGTATTGTGCAAATTGAAATTCCTCAAATAAGTGATGAAATGAGGCATATATATACTATTGATGAATTCAACTGATAATGAGATATCTCAATATATTACGGGGGATAATGGAAATGAATATGTGTCGACACAAACAAATGAATAACGCTATATAAATGATATTGATGAGAATGAAATCAGCTGAAATGAGAATATTATGAACTATTGGTAGTAAGATTGTTGAAATCGGTTGATGATGAGAATGAGTTTAAGAATGATAGTTGCACAAAAGCATGATATGACATATTATCATAAATACCACCAGTATCGAAAATCTGAATGAATCTATATGATATTCATGAAAATTATGGCAATGTTATTATGTTGAATATATGGAATACGCGTTGTACTCTTTTTTCCTTGGCTGAGGTTTCGTCCCATTGAGTTTTCCTAGCAAGGTTTTTAATGAGGCAACAGGGATGGCGTATTCACATGAATAGTGTACTCTTTTTCCTTCATTAGGATTTTGTCCCACTAGGTTTTTTCTAATAAGGTTTTAACGAGGCACATTCATGGTATAATAAGGACTACTGGATAATTGATATGATTCTTCATGATGATGAGAAAGGACTGGAGTAGCCGTACTTTTTTTCCTTCGATCAAGTTTTTTCCCACTGGGTTTTCTTGACAAAGTTTTAACGAGGCAGCATGTGGATACTCAACCAAAGATGATCTCTTTGAGGGGGAAGCAATGTCGTGCTTCCACAATGCTCAGGTTTTGTCCCACCAGGTTTTCCTGAGGAAACAATATTATGATTTCAAGATGATCAGGTTTTGTTCCACCAGGTTTTCTTGAGAAGAAATGTTGTGATTCCACGATGATCAGGTTCTGTGCCACTGGGTTTTCCTAACATGTTGAAGCAACGGTACCTCATGGCCACAAGAAATACTTGAAGATGCGCAGATTGGACTTTGTTCAAATCAGTTAAAATATGTTTAGAAATAGTCATTCAAGGAGGAGTGTTGTGATATATTTATTATAAAATAATAGATGTGAATGACTATTTTGCTCCTGATGTAATTGTATTATTACAGTTGTGTTATTAGAATTTTCTTATAAATAGGAGCTTCTTTTTTTTTTTTGGCCGGAACGATAGAGGATATATTAAAAACCAAGAGCACAAAAGTGCGAATCAAAATACAAAGCTCCCAACGGGAGAATAAAAAGCAACTAAAAGCTGAATAAAATGGGAGGACAAATCTGACGACCACCTAGAATCCCGACGCTAGCAACGCTAGAAACTAAAACAAGACTCACTAGACAACTAACACAACAAAACACAAGGAAAAACTAACAAGCTCCCAACAGGAGAATAGAGCCGGGAGCTGCTCCCAACAGGAGAATAAATAGGAGCTTCAATTATAATGAAAATCGTACATAAGAGTAACATTTTCTCTATTGTCTCTCTTTTCTCTTTAGTTTTATAACAATACTCTCCAAGCAGTAGAAAATTGTCCTCAAACCAAGTAATTATTCATACTCATATATACTTAAATATTCACAAACTCATATTCATAAATGTCCACAGCAACTGACTACATAAGTTGTCATTAGCCCTACAATGGCCAAATCATTCAACTATGATATTAACATTGTGTGATCCTTCAATACTAAAATTCCCAGACACCACCCTTTCCAGGCTCAGTTGCTTTGTCATCTTCGCATTGGGCATTTTGAATTTCGACAGCGAGGCGAGTTCGTGGACCGAGTCAGCTATCTTCACCGTGCACGAGACGATCTCGATCAGCAGCGAAGCAACCGTGACAGCCGGGACTATGTCCAGCAGATCCGTATCGGG